CTGATTGACATGCGATATGCTCATTGCACACCTTTATCTCGCCGCCTACGCGCCTGCAGTGTGTGTGTGTGTGTGTGTGTGAGTATGTGTGTGTGTGTGTGTGAAAGAGAGAGAGTATGTGTGTGTGTGTGTGTGAAAGAGAGAGAGTATGTGTGTGTGTGTGTGTGAAAGAGAGAGAGTATGTGTGTGTGTGTGTGTGAAAGAGAGAGAGTATGTGTGTGTGTGTGTGTGAAAGAGAGAGAGTATGTGTGTGTGTGTGTGTGAAAGAGAGAGAGTATGTGTGTGTGTGTGTGTGAAAGAGAGAGAGTATGTGTGTGTGTGTGTGTGAAAGAGAGAGAGTATGTGTGTGTGTGTGTGTGAAAGAGAGAGAGTATGTGTGTGTGTGTGTGTGAAAGAGAGAGAGTATGTGTGTGTGTGTGTGTGAAAGAGAGAGAGTATGTGTGTGTGTGTGTGTGAAAGAGAGAGAGTATGTGTGTGTGTGTGTGTGAAAGAGAGAGAGTATGTGTGTGTGTGTGTGTGAAAGAGAGAGAGTATGTGTGTGTGTGTGTGTGAAAGAGAGAGAGTATGTGTGTGTGTGTGTGTGAAAGAGAGAGAGTATGTGTGTGTGTGTGTGTGAAAGAGAGAGAGTATGTGTGTGTGTGTGTGTGAAAGAGAGAGAGTATGTGTGTGTGTGTGTGTGTGTGTGTGTGTGTGTGTGTTAATGAATGTCTTCCTATTGAAGTCTTGAGCAGGCAGAGATTGCGTGCAGTTCCGTAACACGCAAAGCTTCTTTGAGTCATTACATCAGGCTTTTATTGCGTGTGTGTCACTGAACACACCCTGTTGTGATTGCAAAACGTGAACTTCACTGCACCCCGCAGTAGATGCATATCTCCTTTGTCAAAATATCATTTCCAGCTGGACGGGACACGACTATTTCTTCCTTTTGATAGAATACGGTTTTAGTTACACCTCAGTGAAAAATGACAGAGCCTGAATGCTAAAAGATGTTGGATTTGATGCTGTTTTCGGGGGTCAGGGAAGGGGAAGTGGGAGACTTGATGTGAGGCGTCATTAGTTTCTGCTGATTGATGTGCCCATGATGTCTTTCACAATCTTCTTTGGATCAAAAACATTTTAAAACAAAACCAGCAAGTTTAATGTGACTGACTCTGTTTCAAACTATAAACTAATGCAACTTACTTCATCCAAATTTGCCAGAAAATATTTTTATTTTCAGCTAAACACTAAAAATGAGGATTTATTTGTATGTTTTGCATAGTTTATTTTTTAATATTACAATTCTTTTTTTTAAGGTAGACAGTAACACTGCAATAAGATCCCATTAGTTCACATGAATGCATTAACTCACATTAACAACAAGCAATACATTTGTTACAGTAGTTATTAATCTTTGTCACTAAAAACACAACTGTTCGTTGCCATTCATGTCATCTCAGGTCTATTAAACAGCTACAGCTTTTGATTTTCATAATGCATTAGTAAATGTTGAAATTAACAGTACTAAGATTAATAACTGCTCTACAGGTACATTTTAGTTTTAGCTCATATTAACTCACGTAGTTAATGTTAAACAGAACTCAGTTTGAACCTGTGTAATTCACTCATTTAATAATATGGTGTGGAAGTAGAGAAATAAGTAGATCAGAATAAAATGAGTATCTCCATGATACTGACCATCATTTAACAGAACTGTAAACACAACTATAAACCTATTCATTGCCAACAACAAGTATTTAGGATCTTTGTAAACCCCATTCTAGGCCAAAACAAACAAATACACCAAAACTATATATTAAGTAAGTGGAAAACACCATTAAAATGTATGAACATTTCAAAACATGCAACTCGATTATGGCTAAAAACTTGTCGCTTTAGCACGATGGGAAAGCTTTTGCATAGCTCTGCCTCAGCGGTGCTTTATTTGCTTGTTTTCTCCTGAGGCTGGGATGGAATGGACAGTCTGAAGCTGTGGCACTCGAACACGGCTCTCCTCTGGAAAGCAGCCTGCTGTCTGTTTTGATGATGATGATGATGATTAAATGTGTTTTGTGCTGTGTCAGCATATCCTTTACTTCGTTACTATCAGTCCTCCAGAGACTTCATCCTGCCAAGACGCTTCACGGACAATGCCAAGTCATTTCAGAAAATACATTTTGCTGCTTTAAAAATCTTTGAAGGAATGCAGCCAAAGATAGCAGGCCCTGTGTGTTTGTGGAGCGTCGCACACGGCAGCTTGAATATGTTCCCCGGGTGTCTAATATGGGAAGATAGTGAAGGAGTACACCTGCTGCTATATTAAAAACAATAGCAATGTGCAAACAATGCCTGATAAAGATGTTTTCTCAGATTGAGAGTTGACTTGGATGAACAACATGGCAACATTACAGTAGAGCATTTCCAGCTAACAAAAATACATTCTAAGAAGCCATTGTCAACGTTCAAATTAAGTTATGAAAACCTTGTTTCTCTGAATTTTCAAAACTTCCACTTTTTAAAAACTTTTGGTGACACTTTCTATGAAGCCCGTATTTATAACACATTATAAGGGCATTCGTAAGGCATTATAATGAATGCATAATACGTTATTAAAATAACTTATAATATGTTGTTTCATCTCATAAATAATCATAACAACAATTATAATACTTCATAAAACTTACTTATTTGTGGTTATAACGTTTATGAGTATGATTATGTATAACACGCAAATAAACACCATGTTAAATCCACGTAATATCTCATATCTTGACATTATTTATTTAAGACCTGTAGAGTATCTTACTGATATTACAATAAATATAGTTAAAATTAAATGTGCCATATTACACTCATCTAAACAGATTTCTGATCTTACAGCTGTTTAAGAAAAAAATATATTTTTATTATTATTATTGTTGCTATTATTTATAAGTGGTCTTTGTCTGCTTTAAATAAAGTAACAAGTTAACAACTGCAAGATATGAGATTTATAATATATCATAACTATGGGAAATATAATCCATTGTGAGTTAAGTGGATGCATTGTGTTCATTGTGTATTATAAATCATCATTAAACTCTTAAAAGCTATAACCACAAATAAGTAGATATTATAATGCATTACAACTGTTGTTATGATTACTCATGAGATGATACAACATATTATAAGGTTTTTATAATACATTATGCATTCATTATAATGCCTTAAGAATACTCTTATAATGTATTATAAATACGGGCTTCATAGAAAGTGTTACCAAACTTTTTTCTTCGTTCCATTTGATCAATATACAAACATTATGGAATGTCACTTTCGAATGTTTTCTTAAAAATTCTGAAATAAGTAGTAACATTAAAAAATAAATACATAAATTAGTCGAACATCAAACTAAAATGTTCAGTAATGTATAAATAATGTTTTTGAGCTAACATTATTAAAGGCCAGATAACTCTGAATGAATGTTCTTTTAACATTACTGGAAGAGCGTTTGTTCATAACTTTGACAGAACGCTAGCCAAAGTTATGAGAATCCTCCCTTTTGTAGATATATTGACTTACATGGGGTAGGCTTTGGGTAAATCTATAATTAGTCTGTGGAATGCCCTGGTTTAGCACTGAAAGTGTGTGTTGTACAGGAGTGGCTCCTGGGGCTTCTAACAAAAGATCACGGGAGGATTTTTTAAAGTTCACACTGAATGCTGAGGTTGTGAAAGCAGGCCTAACTATTCCAGCCGGTCTCCTCTCCACCCACGTCCAGCGCTCAGAAACACATGGCAGTGTCACTCACATGTCTTTCATTCTTACAGAGAAACACAGCAAACAAAGCCAGTAAAGCTTTTCTGTCATTGCTTTAGTCCTGTCTGAGGTGTGTGCGCCAGGACCTGAATGAAAGCACTGAGGGGTTTAATCCCCCAAAATACAACTCTGTCACAGACACACGGCTGAACACAACATTTTCATTTGGTTTAGTACATACGTGTATATCTGTATATATGTAAAGTCTTAAATGTCCCTGTTGAAAAAACCAGCATATGCTGGTTAGGTATGTTCTGACGCTGGGATGCTGGTTTAAGCTGGTCCTTTGCTGGTTTATGCTGGTCCTTTGCTGGTTTATGCTGGTCTTTGCAGCATCCCAGCGTCAAAACATACCTAACCAGCATATGCTGTTTTTTTCAACAGGGGTATGTGTGTGGTAGTATGGATATATATATATATATATATATATATAGTCTGATAGACGTCTTTAAGATGTCAGTTTTACATACATTATAAATCATAAACATCTTATGGACATTTTCTAGACGTCTATTTGACATCTGATAGGAAACACGTCCTATAGACGTATTGCAGATGAGCAAACTCTCTAAAAAATACGTCTTGCAGACGTCAAATATACATCTCTGTGATGTAGGTGTGCTGTCAGGGCATGAAACTGTATGACTGTCTATTTGACATCTAAAAGGAAACGTCCTATAGACGTATTGCAGATGAGCAAACTCTCTAAAAAATACGTCTTGCAGACGTCAAATATACATCTCTGTGATGTAGGTGTGCTGTCAGGGCATGAAACTGTATGACTGCTATCCATAAACCATGGTTTACACTTGTTACTCCAAAGTACTTCAAAAATACCATGGCATTGCCTAGTTCCTCTAGGGTACTAACTTTGGTTAGTGACATTTTTATTGCCTATGTATACATATAGCCTACAATTATATGCATTTTCTGGTTAAGTGTGCCTGCAAAACGGCCTTAATTATAAATATGAAGACGTACACGTATAATTAAATATGTGAAGTAAATTCGTCCCTCTGGTTTATTTGGTAAATATCGCTCTCTGCTGGCTCTTGAAACAAATTACAATGTTACTCTTTGAATATGTGTAGTGTGGACATAGATTCGTGATATTTAGCTGTGTGTTTTATGATAAATACCCCTTATTTGATTTGACTGTTTTACATCACTTGCTAACTGATAAATGTTTATTTCGTGTTTCTCTAAACAAGGAAGCTCGGAACTAACGGCGCTGTTTTCAGAAGCGCCACGGACGATATTTGCTGCGGCACCGGCAGCTCACATGGCGCTGCGTGTGTTAGCGCGAGAAACTTATGCGATCAAGACAAAAGCCCTGTGACAAAGCTGCGCGATGCTGTGCATGGGATCTGACTGACCTGTCCTTCATGACGGAAGCCGTGTTTCAAGCCCCTAAACGGCGGGCGAAGGTTTATGAGTCGTTTGAAGCTCCTCTCCCCATCTCACTGAGCGCAGAGGACAAAGAGCCCATCATCTACAGAGCAGAGATCATCAGTCATCATGTCGTAGTCACAGATCCTGCTCACATACTGCCTCTGTATGAGCGGGTGAGGCGTGCACCACACGCAGTAAATCAGACATGTGAGCCCAGGTCACTTCTCAAGCTGTAATGTGTGTTTGCTCCTCAAGGGTTACTTCGGTAAAGGAGTGTTCTCTAGATCCAGACCTGAGCACGGGATCTCTCAGCAATGGAAATGTAGGTTGTTGTGGTCGCTGGAAGCATTATAACATTTAATGAGAAGGGTAGCATCTAAGCTTTTTATATGACCGTGACTCTTTCCTTTGTTTTAGACGTTGGAGACAGATGTCTACCTGTGATCTCCTCGTCAGAGTAAGAAGGTCTTGGACAGCTTTACTTCTACTCTCGTGTGTGCACAGGTGCTTAATGATCAAGGTGTTGGTTTAATTTCCTGCAGATACCAGAAGCGCCTCCGCTGGGCTCGTGCGGCTCTCCTGATGCAGGGATTGGAGGATGAGTCGGTCAGTCATGCATTAGAGACTCTCACAAAGCCAGTGGAGTTTGTTGTTGGGGAAGAACAAAGCCTTGGCTCATTGGTCGACCAGTCAATGGATGAAGTGTCATGTGAACACGGCAGTCTGGATCGAACTGATCCTGCGAGGCCTCAACGGCAAGGAAACCCACTGTATGATCCTCTGGCTGAAGTCTGTCCTGAAGAGCCCGAGCAGCTTTTAAAAGCCCATGTGAAGTGCAGAAGACCTGAGGAGCAGCAGCCCATGAGTTCAGAAGCTTATCAGCACGTTCTGGTGGTGCTCTCTGAAGATGATGACAGTGCAAGCTCTACCACGGCTAACGTCTCCGGTGTAAATAACACCAGATTATACTCTTCAAAAGGAAATGCCAGTGCTAACAAAGCGAATGGCATCATCCTTAAAAACCATCTGTTGCACACGTTTTGGTGTATTGCAAAAAAAAAAAAAAAGTCTAGCGCATCAAAATCTTTGCTGATGGTTATCATGTTAGTGCATAAACTTTATGTAAATACTATAAATGTCACCAGAAACTAGTTTGGAAGCACTTTTTTGTCTGGAAGAAGGGCTTTAACGCAAATGTGACCCTGGAGCACAATTCAATTCAAGGGTCAATTTTTCGAAATTGAGATTTATGCATAATCTGAAAAATCTATAATTGTGACCCATACAATGTATTGTTGGCTATTGCTACAAATATACCCCAGCGACTTAAGACTGCTTTTGTGCTCCAGCGTCACATATAGTTGCTCCCATTAAAGCGCTTTTTCTCGTTAATGTTCAAAGGTGTGTTAAAACTACCAAGTCAAACGATAAGAAATCTGAATTCTAAACATGTCTCACTCTCTCAGTATTATTATGAGAATATATTCAAAAGTTATTTTTCTCTAAGCGCAGCCGGCTTGACTGCATGTTAATGGTGCAAGATTGAATCAATTATTATTTTTTGTTTACTATACAGTCCTGTTTTTTTATTTTTTTCAATGGACTCTTAAATGTTTCATACAGGATGAGAGCGTATCGTATTAAATTATTTGTAAGCTGATCAATTTCAATTCTCCCGTTACTCTCACTATTTTACCAGGTTTTGAGGATATGCACAAAATGCTGTTGAAAACGGTGCAGATCTCTTTTGCAATGCACCAAAACGTATGCAACAAATCTATGACAGTGGACGGGAAATTGGCTAGTGACAGCTTAGAAGTAGAAAGTGTATAAAAGTTCAAACTAGCACATCTTCGACCGAATGAATGTACAAACAGTCTGAATGTTAAGCAGTACGGAGCTGATTGCAGAGGAGAAGAAAACGATGCTTTACAAGCAACGCAGTGACAGTTTTCACTCTTCTTCAGAGAACTTTGCCTTCAGCTGTTTCGGAAAAGACACTTTGTTTTTTAATGAGCGAACCTGTTGGTAATGGACTCTTGTCTATTTCAGGAGCAGCAGGGCAAGTTAGTGTGCAGAATAAACCCTTTCAGCATGATGGAGTATCTGCAACTCAGTTATGAAGAAGTAAGTGACTCTGCAGGACGGTTCAAGCTCTCTGTGTGACGGATTGCATCAGAAATCCTTCCTGTCGACACACTGCATACTGCTGCAATTCGTTCCCAGCGCAAACAGCCAGCCCTCCATCACTGCGGTCTCGTGCCCCTGGTTTCTATCTGTCAGGTTTGAGTCAAATAGGCTACATCATATTTTCCTCTAGCTTTTATTGTTACAGCTGGATATAGTCGAGTGATTTCATTACCCTGAGCCAATCCAAACAACACGGCTGAATATCTTATCTACTCTCTTCTGTTAACTCAAGCTCCCTCAACAGCAGCTTACTGAAACTACCACTCCCTCTCACTAACACAATCCCATCCCATCATCCTCCAGGAAAGTACACACACCCTCGAGTCCAATCAGAGAGTCCGAGCGAGTGTCTGGAGGAATGTGGGATGGTTTATAATTGGTTATTTATCATCCTGTATGCTTGACCTCTCCCTGACATCCCCCTGTGCGATTGCTATCATCGGCCGGTGTGATCTAGGACACATCCTAACATGAACTTCAGGTCATTTGTCTCCTAACAAGCAGCTTGTCTTTGTTTCAGGCGTTCTTTCTGGTTTATGCTCTGGGCTGCTTGTCAGTTTATTACAGCGGGGTGAGTTCTTAGCCTCTTTTCTGCGTGTACGTGTCTTTTACCGGTGTAATGTCTTGACTGGTGAACGTCTGTCCGGTTGTGTTTCCTGTAGGAAGCTCTGTCGGTGGCTCAGGTTTGGACCATGTTTCGTTCGCTGCAGCCCAGCTTCTCCAGCTCCTACGCGGCCTATCACTACTTCCGCAGTAAAGGCTGGGTGCCAAAGTCTGGAATTAAATACGGGACTGATTTAAGTAAGGATATTTCTCACAAAATCTCAACTTTAAACCTGAACTACATCCAACTCTGTTTTGTTTTCAAAGCTGGGTCATTTCTTCTATAAATGTGGCAAGCAACTCCACATTTCAAAAGTAAGAAATTGCATTGGCATTCATGTGTTGTTCAGCTTTGCTATGATTCGGCTGTAGGTCCAACATAAAAATTAGACTTGTTTTTAACCAGTGTCCTCGTGTGTGTGTACTCTAGTAATAACAGTAAATGATGAATGCAAGGTTTTTATGAAGATCAGACTTTAAGACATTTTTCAGACCAAGTCAAGAGAATTAATGGACCAAATTGAAAGGGAACGTAAAACGTCACTATGCAGTACATATATATATATATATATACACACACACACACACACACACACTGAATATGCATACAAGCCAAGTCAGAATGTAAATGTAGAAAATGTTTGTGATTTTCCAACAGATCTTCATTGCTTTTTTAATTAATTAATAAATAAATAAAACTAGACTATGGAAATATCTCTATAATTAGCACTGCAAATAATCAATGTTCTTCCTATATGTTATATTTTTGTCTTGTCTTCCAGTGCAAATGTCTAAAGATTCTTAAATCAAGATACATTGAGAAGCAGAATGACAAGAAGTCTTGTTTTCTGAGAAATTGATCAAACTGAAGTGAGTTTATGATTAAAACAAGGACACGTATCTGCCAATGGTTTCAAGTAACTCAAAGGGAAAACAAGTTTTCATTCCCCATCGACAGATACTTGTTTTCCGTTTTTTAAGCATAAACTCGATTTTGTTCAAGTTCTCAGAAAACAAGAGTTGGACTGTAAATGTATTTGGATTTAAGTATGTTTAGATACTTGTAATGGAAAACGAGACAAAAACATTTTTTGCAATGCATGCAACATTTAATGCCATGGACTTTGTGATTTCAAGATTTTCTGCTCTGATTTAAAACATTTTTAAGGCCTTAATTTGTGGAAGGACGAATTAAGAATTTTTAAGATCTGCACAAACCCTGGAATAATTACAACTAATTAACTAACTAACCCTTAACTAACTAACCCTATGTTGTTAATTAATAGTACTTAAGTATTTATTTGTGTAACAAGGACGCACTAAAATAAAGTGTGACCAAAGTTAATAACTTGCATTGAAGTCCAAATATGGCCAGTTCATGTATTTGGTTTCTACGCCTATGAAAATGATTTCAAAAAGAATATCAAGCTTTGCCTGTCATGAAGCAGTGACAGCATTATAGAAGAAGAGCAGTGTGGTGTTTTCAGATGGTGCCGTCTGTAATGGCACAGAATCAGCCCGTTGTTCTCAGGAGCACTGATGTTTATGGCCTGTCCTTCTGAAACATTTAGGCCTGTCCCTGCATTAGCTGAGTCCAGCGGGTCAGAGAGATTTTCCAAGCAGTGTCAGTAACGCTCGAGGAGGACGGCTGAATTATTCAGGTCTATTGAGCATTGCTTTCCTCGCTCTCCCGACCCGTAGCACTGCAGTCTCATTGACATGACATGGAAACTGACTCTTGGCTGTGAACTTCAGGAGGTGTGGGCTCCTGTAGACACACGACACTATAGAGTTGCCTCTTGTCTGTTGCTGTTTCAGCTCTCAGATTCTCCTTTCGTTCTCTCTTTCTAGTGCTCTACCGAAAAGGACCACCATTTTATCATGCAAGGTTTGTTCTTAATCAGGCAGATGTTGAAAATGTTTGCTTTTGATGGTGCATCAAGATTCAAAGATACAGTCCAGAAATTCACATGAAAACACGTGTTTGTTTGTTTGTTTGTTTGTGTGTGTGTGTGTGTCTGTCTGTCTGTCTGTCTGTCTGTCTTTTGTCTGAGTTTGTGTTTGTGTGTGTGTGTCTGTCTGTCTGTCTGTGCGTGCGTGCGTGCGTGTCT